CTGCTTTGAACCCATTGTTTGCTGGGATGGACTTCCACTCCCTTGCACCCCTGAATTGTGTAAAGCAGTTAGAAAATGGATGGATGGAGGTATGGGGTTGCTCAACAGCGAACAGAACTTTTTGTTCAACACTTTAAAGATAAGATTCTTTGGTCTGTTCTGTACAAGTTAAAAGAGCCATCCTCTGCTGAAATATTCATCGCTTAGGGATGGAGACCGATGCTGGTGTTGATAATCAATGAGCTTTTGGGCAGCCACTATGGAGCAGATTCTCTTAGTTGAGAAGATGCTAAATGTTTCTTTCATTATTAGATAATAGTGGTGCAGGTGATCACTAATTAGTTGATTTGGTCATTTTCTGTCTAAGAAATACAAATTCCTGTACCTTCCCATACTAGGGCCGAATAAGAGGTCTGGACAGCAGAGCCTGATTCCCCCTTTCAATAATTACACTGTCTGAAGGGAGCATGTCTCTTCCTGCCGCTCAAGCGGCTTCGCTGTGGCGGTAAAATAGCTGAAACTGTGTCCTCACAAGTCCCCCGTTCCCACGGCTCGCACCTTAATGCATCAACGCCAGGAGTGACAGATTGTTCCCTTTCTTTCCCCCTTAGCTGACTGAGCCTCAGAGCATTGACGTCCCCAAAAGCAATCATGCAAGATGCTCAGCCAACAGAGCTGCTATGGCACAGGTGCACAGACCCTAAAGCAAGATGGAGTGTGTGTGTGTGTGTGCATGTGTGTGTGCGAGTGTCTGTGTGCGCGTGTGTTTCTGTGTGGTGTGGGAGCTCTAAACTTAAGGCATGAATAACTGTTACTGCATTGTTACAGCTACTGCATTTACTGGATCAAGATGAATTGAGTGAGGCACATACTTAATACTTTATTTACAAGGATTTTAAAAGGACATTTTGAAAGAAGGGGTTCATGGTGGCACAGTGGTTAACATTACTGTGGTGCAGGGCTGGGCCCTGGGCTCAATATAGAACCCGGGCTGCTGTCTGTGTGGGCTTGTGGGAAAATTGTCCCAGGAGTTAGTCCCTGTGTGCCATGTGAGGAACTGGCATCCCATCCAGGGTGTATCCGGCCTTGTGCCTGTTGTTTGCTGGGATAGACTCCGGCTCCCCTACCACACAGTATTTGGTAAAGTGGCTAGAAAATAGATGGATGTATTTTGAGAAAATGAATGAGCCTCTTTGTATTTTAAGCAGGGACAAGAAGAATAAATGATAACATGCTGTATTGTTACTGCAGCTGTACAGTACATGTGCCTTATCGGAAGCATATACCAGGTTTGGTCTCTTTTTTAAAGAACACTAGTAGTCCAGATTAGCACATCAGCAAACATCCACTTATTGAAATAATGGAAACATTATGAAACAGTCTGAAATATATCAATCAAAAAGTTATATAGCACCTTTCAAGGAATACTAAAAGCAGCACTATCGCAAAGTGCTGTAGAATAGAAACAGTTCAAATACCAGAGAGAGAATTCCAAAATGCCTAAACAAAAACCTAAAAGATAAGTAATAAAGAAAGCAGTTGACAGAAAAAAAACAGTCACAAAATAATACATGAATATGTGAACATTTTTCTGCAAACAAAAGAGTGTTCCTATTTTTCCTACCTTTGTCTCCTACTGGATTTCCACCTGTACATGTTGTCCAGTTGTTTGTAGAAAAAAGGAAAAGTAGCTCTTGGTTGGAGTAAGCTTTCACAATCTCTCTGTGAATTTCTGCAGCCAAGCGAGTCTGAAACTCCGAGGGGTTCGGCTGGCGGGCAGCTGGGGGTAATTTTTGAAAAATATCCCCAGAGGAATTGTGGCATCCGAACTCACACCTGAGAAGGATTCAGACTGCAAGTTGCCTGCAGCCAACTGTGAGTGTTGGAGCAACGCAATGATTCTGATTGGTGAACAATAATTCTCATTCACTTGCTTGCACAGCATAGCCAACCATCTGGAACCCATTTATAAATAATTATCATTAATAATTCAATTAATAATTTAAATAAATAGAGGTTAGTATTAATGCTGTCTCATATTTGTTAATTTGAGATTATTAATGTAAGAGCTAGGAAAAGTATTAGCCAACAATGCCATTGTCAGAGACAGAGCTATTTCTGGAATAACATATTCTCAAAGTCCCACTGATGAACACTATAAGATGAGCCCAAACTTATCATAAACAGTTGCTAAAAACTGCATTTTCTGCCAGGTGCTAATTATTTTGTGTCCCCCTTTCTGGAAGGATGAAAAAGACAAAGAAAGCTGTTAATGAAGATCAACGTTTCAATTCTCACTAAGCAAGTTCCAGCTTGCTGTGTCCATAGATTTATTTATCTCATTGAATTTTTTTCCCTTTCCTTGGCTGTCTGCAAAGGGCTTCAGAAGCCAGACTCTGTTCTCTAGTATTTGATGTAAAACCTAGGAAACTTTAAAGGTTTTACTGAGTCCATTAAGCAAGTTACATGCCATAAATATCTGTGAACATACATGTGATAAAGAAACAGGTAAAGGTTTGTTCCAGCTGAAAGGAAAAGAAAAGAGACACAACGTTTTGGCTGTGGAGCTTAGCTACATGTTCCTGTTCCTTTGTTCCCTACTGGAACTACATGTTATAAATGTTACTCTGAAATTACTATGGAATATAAATGTTACTCTCTCTTGATAAGTACATATTGACTTTACAGTATTTGTAATAAAGCACAACAGCAAATTTATTATTTTTTTTGCAGGTGATGAGTTTTTGGTGCTGCAGGGCGGTCACAGATTTGCAAACAGTCACACCAGGGGCCATTTTTACAAAATGCAATTAAGGTACCAGCATGTCTTTGGTCTGTGGGGGAACATACAGTACAAACACCTCACAGATAGCACTCCAGGCCCAGAACTGAACTCAGGCCCAAGCATTGAAAGGCAATGATGCTAAACACTGTGCCACCATACTAGCCTATTTCAGCAATAATTTATTAGTAATAATATTTTAAATGAATCAAACTTATTCTGATCTCCAGATATGTTAAAATTTTCATTTTAATGTTTGGAAGCAACTGAGTTATTACTTTTTATGAACTGTGAACTGGATTTTATGTAATAATCTTGTCTGTCCTCAGGGCTACATGCTTTTAGCATAAAAATCTTCTTTGCAAATCACGAACCTCACTGAGAGCTGAAGCAATGACAGTCATGAAACATTACCAACGTCCTCTCCAGAATCGCATGTCTACAATGAGCGTCATGGTAAAATAATTACTCTGCCGTTAGCAAGCTTTCTAGTTTTAGGTCTAAGTTACATAAATCCTCAAGCACATAAAAGCATTTCTGAAAAGCACACAGAATTTTAAAAGATAAAGCTCAAGGGAAAAGCGTATCATTTGGAAAAAAACACGAATAAGCATCCGTATTTTCCAGAATTCTACTGGACCTAATGAGAACCAATCTGAACGTGTGTCTGCTGCCCCAGGAGGAATAATCTGAACCACGGTGTTAATAAAGACCTCAGCGGGGGCTGTCAGACACTGGGAATGCAGTCTGATTTGTGAATGTCAGGATTCTGCCTGCAGCAATAAGCCCTCTGTGGTGTGGTCTCATCTACCCCGAGACGCCTGGAGGCCTGTGAATGTCGCTGACATGCTGCCACAGTCCCCATGTGAAGAAGTAACAAATCAAATCTGATGCACAACTGTGCTGCTCGACACCTGCTCTAGCTTTCTGTCTGGGTACAGCAGAACCCAGAATTCCTGCAGCTACTGCCTGTTTCACCTGCTGGTTGCACCAAAATACCCAACCATTCACTCTCTTCTCTTACACATCTTTTAGGCAGGAACAGTTCCTTGATTTCTTGTTTACTCTGTTCACAATCACCAAAATTCCCATATTTACTGACAGTTTGCGTACTGTCACATTGTAATCCACTGCAGTTAAGGTGTTTGACCCGCTGTTCTTAGGAGCTACTATTTATGACTTTTGGGAATTTGCATGATCCCTTGGGATCTTAGCATGCACTTGGATTTTCTCCAGGTGTTCAAGTTTCCTCCTACTTCCCAGAAACACACACATTATGTCTGACTGACTCTGATAAACCACTGGGGTTTTTCCTCCATGCCTTACCCCTAAAGTTGTGCGGAGTGGGTTCTCCTAATGCTCTGTGCCGAGCATGTACTGTAGAAGGAATGAGACCTGACTGACATGATCATAATCATACAGTAAACCACACAATCCCACCAGGTCCAGTGAGTCAGGTTGTGTCGACAGAGACTGCAGTACAATCATCTGAAGTGTTCGACCAGGGAATGAGAGCATTCAACCAGAAACTCCTATATTTGAGACTTTTCAAATTGGCCCAGATCTGGACAGTTTGGCTGAAGACTTTGTTCAAGGTAACTTAATTTATAACCCTTAATAATAAAAATGTAATATTCTGTTTATAATGAAACATCACAGATATCTCAGGCAATGAAGAGTGTGTCCATACTGTATGTTTAATGGTCTTACAAAATATTGAATTCATCTAGTGAGTTAAATAACGGATGAATGCAGGTCAGGGCAAACACAGGGAAACACATCAAACCGTAGTCTTGTATAGTGACTGTATAGCAAAGGGGGACGTGTAGGAGAGCAGTCCAGGTGACTGTGTTTTCGGTTTTTGGGATCTATAGGTGTGATATCAATAATGAGGAAAAATGTCCTCCCTATTGAAGAACATTAAGCAAACATTCTGCTGAAATTCCCTGACTAACTTTTTAAGTAATTCAAAACACTGATTCCCCCCAGCATGTTTCATCACAGGAGCTGCAGAGATGAAAGGATTTCGATTTTCAAAGCGTTTTTAAAAAAATAAATAAAAGAGACCACCTACAAATCTCAAGAAGAGCATCATGAGACAACATGAGGAAGATAAAAGTGAGCAGTGCAGACAATTTGACTGCAGCTGCTCCTGCTCTGTAAGCCTTGTGCACAGACATGCCTGTCTAAAGAGCTCGGGAACAAAACAGCTTCACACCTCTGTCCAGCTGCAGAGCCGCCTCTTCACAGAGTGGGATGTCGTCCTGGAGCAGCACAGAGGGAGCCTGTTCATCCTCGAGGAGACTGGCGATGGAGATCGTGGTCCATCCAATCTGTCACATTCCGGTTGCAATGGCCAAGGCTTATCCTTCGGAGGAACGGGATGAGATGGGTTAGACCAGGGTGAGAATCCTGGTCCTGCAGGGTGCTGTGTCTGCTGGTTTGAAACTCTGGTTTATTAGCTGGTTATTAGCTTCATGTAGACGTTGGAACCAACGCAGACTTTTCCTGACTTAGGCCAAAGGAAAACTGTAATCGACTTTAATTGATTGGCAAATCAGTTGTGTTTCATTCATGCCTTAATCAACAGGGCAAAAACCATGTTTTTGGATTATTCGTACCTGCAGTTGTTCGGAATTATATTAATCTATCACAACCGTATCAAGATAGGTCAGCAAGCTCCTCCTTGTGACCTCCAGCCTGTTATTAGCACACTGAACTTGTGTGGATTTAGGAAAATGTAACATTCACTCCCACTCACTCTAACCAGGATTTAGCAATTCATTGTTCTACTTTCAGGTTTAAAAAAACTTTCACTTAAGATCCACATAAAGTGGAATCTACAACTTTGTCCAGAAATGTGTTTACACCTCCTGGTGTAAGGAAATGTCTCTTGGCCTCTATTCTAGTTTTCACTTTCCTACGATGCCTGCTGCTTCTGGATTCTGCTCAAACCCTGGAGAAACATTGACACTGAAGAACACCAATCTCCCTGAGTAGTGCATTAGTCTGGTGTGGCCAGCTTTGAAAACCACAGTATCTGAAGAAGATACCTACAGGGCTCTTCTTCCCTACCACAAGACATCTACAATTTGAGTGCAAATGTGTAAATCACTTGACAATACTGTATCAGCTAATTCCTCTGGGTGTACTGACTATCTACAAACAATCTCAAAAATACTAGAACACTAAACATGCACCTGTTGACCATTACTGGACCAAACCAAACTGGACTAGTCTATTTCTTACCGGTGTTACCCTGTGAAGACCTTTTTGTCTCACCTGAAGGGTGATGATTGTAATTGTTACCATAAATTTAGCAACAAACAGTTAATTCACAAATGTTTTTGCTTAAGGGTTTTAACTGATCGTAAGAGCACCTGTTTTTTACAAAACAACATTCAACAACATCGCTCAATCAGAACTCTTCCAGCACCAATTACAAATGACAAAACAGACGGTTAGTCTGTATAGAGTCTAAAAACAATAAGAATAATAAGATTCCTATTTGCAATCGTTTTTCATTGTTCAACAATTGAATACTTTAAGGAATAAAGGAAGTAAATGCTCTTCTAGTCTTTAGTCTTTATGGATCAGGTATCTCCTCCCAGAAAAAATATTCTAACCTCCTAAATTCCTCACATGCTTCTCAACCAAATCCAGGTGACTTTCTGGCTGTGCTCAGAGAGCTGGATGAATACAAACAGCAATCTATACTGTCCTTTGTCAGAATAATCAGGAGCATGACAGCACTGAGACATCATTATTTTAGGCAGTAATCTATTTTGATCTAAACCCTTCTTCTCCGCGAGGAATAAGTGTCATCCTTTCACCCTAGGGATTTCAAAAATCATGTAATTTAAAATGACAGAGAGCAGACACTGTAAATTATGACAATCCTTTTTTCCTACAGTGCTTTGTTAAAAAAAAACAATCATCCTTTAAAGCGGTAGGATGCTCACAACCAAACCTGTTACACAGATGTATCCTGCGGTCTATGAAGGAGTATTTTGAAATAAACACTAGGACATTGCAGCTTCCTATGCTAATCACTGTTGCTGTCAGATTCGGTGTGGTGCTGCTCAGTTTGAGCAGTATTTTTTTCTGTAGCCTCACCATTGATCAAGAGAACAGTGTGTTTGTAGAGAAAATACAAGACTTGCACAATGAGCCAACTGGGCTACAGTGACAGATGAGCCTCATTAAGTGAGTTTCAGGCAAGAAACAATTTGACTGGTGTAACCAGGCGGTCAAATTAAAAATATTACTCTATCAAGGTAACCTTGGCATATGCAGGAATAAACAAATTTGTGGTGAATGTGCAGATTCATAGCACATATCCTGTAGGATACATGCTGGTGGGGAGAGGCTCTGGCTCCCCTGCGACGCTGAAGTGGATGAAGCAGTTAGAAAGGATGGACAGCTGCAGCACAGCTCTGCTAGTTTCACAGTAGCACTCCTCAATTGTTCAGATTTTCAAATAGTTGAAAAAAATATGCAGGCTGCAATATGTAAAGGCTTGCTAACTTTACCGTTAGATTTCAGATCACCGTCCGATATGCATACAGTATAAACCAAGATTGCTAAGGGGTAGCGTTTGTCCATTTTAATTTTTGGAAATGCTTTTGGAGCTTTAGTTCTGCTGAACTACTGTAAATGAAAATTCAAGCTATCTTTATGTCCTATTCTTTCTCTTTGACTTTCCCAGTGTTCTGCCCACCCAGACAAAGACTCTGTTTCTTTAAGTGCTGAAAAAGTATTCCAAAGGGTGACATTCATCCAACAAACGAGCTGAGCTGTCTGTTGCATGTACCTCTACCATAGACCTTAGGGATTTTTTAAAATAAGACCTGTGGAGAGAGATTCATATTTTGGTTAAATGTAGGTTAACAAGTGGAAGTTAAGTGCAAAAAAAGGCTGTTAGTAGCTCTGTTTTAAACCACCGTGGAGACAGCATACCCTTCACCAAGCTAATCAATGCTGGCCTGTGGCATTGCATTCCCGAAGCACTAGCTGCACAGATAAGTAAATTGCAATTGATTTCCTTGCATTTCAGTCTTACTGTTGGTCAAATAATAGTGAATTTAAACAACTGGAGAATTGCACAAGGCACTTCAAACTGCAGCCTTCCTTACAAATACTGTCATTACACAACCATGAGTGGACTCCCATGGTTTGGAAGCAGAGATCGGAGTAAACGCAGGGAGCAACGCTCAGGCACTCCTCAGCAAGATGAGGAAACTGCCGCCATTCAACTTAGATGCATATATGGTGTAGACTATCAAAGAACTGAACACGAGGATTGTAGGGGTGATCCATATTGATCAGCAATAAGAAGATCTAAGTTTTGGGGTATCACAAATACTCAGCAGTCTAAATAATAAAGATTTGCTTATAAATATTATTTATAATATTTGTGCCAGCAGCTATATCGCTCTGCAGCTCGCAAATGACAGCCCACTGAAGCTCAGCAGGTGTGAGGCTGGCCAGTACCTGGATGGGAGACTCCTGGAAAAAATGGAAAAAGGCTGCTGCTGGAAGAGGTGTCAGTGGGACCAGTAGGGGGCGCTCTCCCTGCAGACTGTGTAGGTCCTAATGCCCCAATATAGTGATGGGGACACTATACTGTAAAAAGGCCCTGTCTTATGGATGAGACATGAAACTGAAGTCTCTTTGGGGTCATTAAAAATCCCAGGGCGAAAAGAGCAGGGTTGTTAACCAGGTGTCCTGGCTAGATTTCACCCTGGCCTTTACCAGTCATGGCCTCCTAATAACCCCCGGTTCTGAACTGGCTTCATCACTCTGCTCTCCTCCCCACTGAGAGCTGGTGTGTGGGGAGAGGAGTGGCACACCATCCAGGTGGGGCTGCACACTGGTGGATGTGGAGGAGATTCCCTATGACCCGTAAAGCGCTTTGAGTTATTATAATTATTATTCAATAAAAGATTTAAAAATTAACTATTAAAACATCTGGAAATTTAACAGCATTTTATCCTGGAATCGGAAAAGTAGGCCTTGTCTTCTATTACAGTTACATGGCCATGACACTTGACAGTAAACATCATGCAGCCTCCACAGGGAATGAGACCAGGACTCTGCTACAATCTTATCTTAGTATTATACAAAAAATTATTCCATGCCAAACAGAGAAGAAAGGAAACACAATGTTTCAGCTGTGGAGCCTTCTTCAGGAGTGAGGGAAGTCTGAGTGTTACCCTGGGTGGTGTTAGAGTCAAAGGAAAGAGTGTTTAATTTCACGCGAAATCCTTTAAGAGTGATATTATAACGATGACATCTGTAAAGGAATAGGAGGTGATTAGAAAGTCTGGTTTTGGAACAGATTGCTGTGAAGAGCTGGGGGCCCAGGGAGGAGGAGAAGGGACGATGAAGAGATCTGGATAAAGATTTAGAGGAAGACATAGTGGATCGCAGCAGAAGTAGCCTCCACAGCCGAAACGTTGTGTTTCCTTTCTTCTCTTTTCAGCACGGAATAAACCTTTTACTTGTTCCTTTGCAGCCTACGCATGCTGACACAACTACCTACTTGAATTATATTTAAAAAAAAATAGTTCAAACTGTATTTTAGTCATAAAGAAGACATCTAACATGGTAACTCCTTACACTGGTAAGCCAGCATTTTAAACCTAATATAAAGGTCACTGTCGTGACCAGTTCAATCGGCTGTGATCCACCAAGAACGAATTATGAAGTAAAACATTAAAACTGACCAGGGAAACATGATGTCAACTGCAAAAAATCAACTGAAGAAATATCTACAAATGTACTCCTAAAAGCAGCAACAGACCTTGCTTCTCCACCGTATTGCTCAGTGTCATTTGTCAGATTGGTGACTCACTTGTCACGTCTGGAGCTTGAATTAATTACAGCAACCAAGAATAATCCAAGAATGCCCATGGGATGAAAATTCAATGATTTTATGGGTGAGAAGAATGCAAACTGCACCACTGAAATAATGCCTTCTCGTATTGTATTTCTTTATCCCTAATGTAGGCCAGTAGAACAATTTAAGCAATTTAAATATCTTAAAACCACTGGGTCTGTTAGTGCAACAGAGCACAAACTAGCTTGCATTGAGGATTTCTCCACAGACTCAATAATTTCCATCATATAAGAAGGATTACATTTATTTCTGAGGAATTGTCACTAATACAGGAATAGCAAAGTTTGCCAAATATTTTGGCCTGGAACAATACGAGTCACGAGTTAAAAGAGGGAAGAAACTCTTTTCTGATTGGTTTAGAAACACCTGACTTGGAATCACTAGGTCTCCTAGCCTCCGCACACGGGAGAGAAAGAGGAAGTGTGGGCAGGCTCCTCTGACCCGCCCACCTCAGAGACCCTCACCCA